AAAGCATCATACTTTATTGTTATTGTATTTCTTATATTATAATCCTCTCAATTTTTTCATTTTGTTTATTTTATTTTTCATAAGTGTGGACATAATTTTAAGCTGTATTATGACTGTTAACTTTGTATTTCCCCTCACTATACCATATCAACAGAACATTAGACCCAATTATGCATAACATGCTAAAGTTTCCAAACTGAATCGACAATACCGTTTGAAACAAACTCACTGTTATTATTATTATTATATCTAATAATTATGTCGTAAATGTGGACAAATTCCTCCGATTAATTTTGTTTTAATTTTTAATTTTATTTATATTTTGAGTAAATCAGATGCAATATTGTGACAAATACTGAGAATTCCATTCTGTATTATAAGTACTGTTTTTGGAATAAAGTGAATTATTATTATTATTCTCAAGTAGGTAAGGGAGTACTGAACAACTGTTTCGTCCCTGCTTGGGACTCTTTACAGCACGCACCATCATTTCACTTGTGATGGAATCCAATAGCTCATGAATTCTAACTTTTGCCGACAGCTACCTATGGTTCGATACCCAGTGGGGTCATAAGTCCGTACTGATGAAGAGTCCCGAACAGGGACGAAACAATGGTCCTTTCCAAACGAAGGTAGTTTATGATCAATCACATAACTGCGTATAAACTGATTTTAGCAAATCAACTCCAGCCTCGTCTGTATGATACGATGATTTTGTAAGCGACTATTGTTGACATCTACCAGGTGTTAACGAAGCTATGTACCGACGTCGAGGATCTAGTCCACCAGTACTTCTAATTCACTTGTGAATGATTTCATAGTTTCCCTGATCTATCTAAACACATTCGCTTTCACATGTCTCAGTATGTGAATACACTTCAGCGGTGACATTACAAGATAGGCAAATGGATATAAAACGGTCAGTATTCGACCCTTTGGCATGGGTCAGATAATGGGCACCACGTTCGAACCTCGCATAGCTTATTTCGATCCTTAGGCAACTGGATAGTATCAAAAATCCTTAACTAATGAAGTGCGGCTTGCAGCCTGAAGCATAAGGAATCAAGATTGATCAATAAGTGACTTCAGTTAAAGAACCATTGAAAACCAGGGTTACTGGACAACAGTTGTCTTCCTAGTTTGCGTTTCTTCATCATTATGTACACATGACATCACCAGGAATAGAAATCGGAGACGCCATCCGATTGTTCATCAATCCCAACTTTTGCTGATTCGCAATCCAGCGTTCGATCTTCGATGTTATCACAGGTGCGTACTGATGAAGAGTTTCAAGGAAGGACGAAATAGTCAACCAACACTCCCGTGTTTTCAATAGTTCTCTAACTGAAGTCAGTTCATCATCATCATCATCATCATCGATCTTGTAATCAATCAAACCCCCGTGAACAAACACATGAGGAATCTATTCACAGTTATAAGTGAGTATACGCTGATTTTAGCACTCTTAATCAAAAAGAGTTCTATGTGTTCCTCTATGTACAACCTAATCACAATAAGCAAACTGTGGTGAGAGCTAGTTGCAAACAAGCCAAAATTGTAAACACCAATTTACTTCGGTGTTAAGTCCCGAATCGCGGTCATCAGAAGAAAATACACTAACAAAGCTTAATCTTGAGGAACTCACTAGACAATCACAGCAGACTTAACGTGGGCAAATACGATTCGCAGATATATGGCTTAACTTTCTAAGAAACGGTCACAGGCGTGGATGCGATATCTAACTATCGACCAAAGGGCGTGTGTACTTCTCAACAGTCAGCTCCGTCCTCCTTTATGGCCAGCTGTGAGACCTGGCCATTGAGAGCAGAAGACATGAAAAGATTAGCTGTGTTCGATCATAGGTGTCTGCGTTCTATCTCCCGCGTGAAGTGGTATAATAAGGTGAGCAATATTCAGGTTAGACATCGGTCGATTGCTAGGTAAGGACGGAGGGGAAATCAGTCGATGAGACTGTGAAATGTCATCGACTGAGATGGTTAGGACATGTGATACGTATGCCTAGCCTAGCCATCGCCTTCCTCGACAACGGGCAATGTTAGCTGATATAGGGTCAGGCTGGAAAAGAGCTAGCGGCGGTCAAACCAAAACATGGTTTCACCAGTCAATGAAATCTACAACAGTTAGTCTAAGCCAGCCACGTAGGAAGGTGTAGACTTCATGGCTGGTTGAGGTCCTCGGGACGGTAAAAACCAATGAAGGCCGGAAACAATTGGTGACATGGCTCAAAATCGTCGTTGTCAATGGCTGGCGCAGATGCATCCACTCCTTGTGACTTATGATTTCCAATGAAACAGTTTTTTTCTTCGTTGTTACTATTCCTTTGTCTCACACCTCTGTTTACTGTCTATATTATGCATTTCTTCTACTTTCTTCTCTTGCTTTGTATGCTACAAGGAGGGAGTGTGGCGACTTGAACTGGTGCACATATGTGCAAAGTTCTATGTCGAAAACCGAAAAACCGAACCGAATACAGAATAACTTTCAGCAACAAAAAACAACCAATCAGAAGACGTTGCTTCTCCACTGATAATAATGTGTAAATGAAAATCTATAAACATCGGTTGATTTTCTCAATAAACGATCTGTTGCCTGGCCCTTGTCTTCTGTCGTTACACATACACACACACTTACATTCGTATTCACACTTCTCACAGTATGAATGCACAAACTGACTGGCTGGCTGGATTCAACATAGAACTTGCCACCGAAGTGCAGCAGTTCCAGTTGCCACGTTCCAAAGACCACACAAACGTAGACAGGAAGATGAGTGAAGAGAATCAATAGAGTTTTGACAAGTATAAGAGTGAAACAGAATGAGTAATGGTAGAAAGGAATATGAAAGTTTACAGAGACTGAATACATCTGCGTAAGCCATTGACAACGATTTTGAGCCATGTCACCTATTGTCTCCAGCCATCATTGATTCTTAGAGTCCCGAGGGTGGGCCCCAACCCGGAAGTCTGCATCTCCCTCCCTACCTGACTCAGTTTAACTGTCAGGGATTTCATGGATTGATGAGACCATATTTTTGTTTGGCCACCACTTACTCTTTTCCAACCTGCACCTATATCAGCTAGTAATGCCCGTCCGTCGGGGGAGGCGATGGTTAGGCATACGCAGCACGTGACCTAGCCATCTCAATCTATGTAACTTTATAGCCTCTTCGATTGATTGATTTTCCCTCTTTGCCCAACACTCTACGCCTAACGTCAACATTACTTACCTTATTATACCACCTAACACGAGAGAGAGAGAGATCGTAAACGTCTGTGGTCAAAAACAGACAATCTCTTCATGTCTTCCGCTCTCAATGGCCACGTCTCACTGCCATAGAGAAGGACGGAGTGAACTGCTGAGCAGTACACACGTCCCTTGGTTGATAGCCGGATGTCACGCCTACGCCAGAGACGGTGTAAGTTAGCGAAAGCAGCCCGAGCTTTTTGGATCCGTGCTGAGATTTCGTCGCCAATCAATCAATCAATCCGTTGGTGCTGATACAACTTCCCATATAGGTGAAGTGGTCAACATGCACAAACGCCTCAGTAAGTAGTGATGATGACATTACACAAAACACGACACCGACTGTACACAGTCAAGAATTATCAATTGATACTTTTATTTGACGGAGTTTCGTTTTTTTCTCATTTTTTCTGTACATCATGAAATCACACTGTAACAATAAAAAAAGCACACAGAGATAGATAGAGGGACTAGTTTTAAAACAGTTCCGATCAAGATCACGATCACAATAATAATAGTAATAGTAGTAGCAATTATAATAATAATAATAATCAAAATAGATGGATAAAATTAGTTCTATTATTTTTAGTTTTATGTTGCTGACAAGGTAGGTGGATGTCTGCCCCTTTTTTTAAATCACGGATTGCATTTGAGGAATCAAATCCAGCAAAACAACATAAACCCGCACTTCTCCTCTGCCGTCTTTTGATTTTCTTCGGATTACACAGTGATCAATTTTCATGTGGGTAGGTGGGTGGGTAGATGAGGTAACAACAACACGATCGCTAGAGTAGTAGTAGAAGAGGCAGGGGATAGGGATAGGGTCGATTGCTCCGGGAAGGCTTTGTATAATGAGTGGGTTAATATTTGTGTTGTGTGTGTATGTGTGAGTGTTACACAGACAGTAGAAGAGGAATTGTAGGAAGAGCAGGATAAAATAAACATTGAGTAATAAGGGATAAACACAAAGCATGAAGGGATTTCAACGGCAAGACGACGTATCTCTCTATTTATATATATACACACACATTCATGGATCAATATTCAGAGGATCATCCATTCTGTGCAGCATTGATACTCTTCCCCCCTTCTACTCTTTCTTTTGTGAACAGTTTAACTTTCTGGAGATCGTACCAAAAAAGAAAATACACGATCCGACACACATAGATCATCCGGCTTCTTGGCATTATCTTCATGATCATCGCCACCACACGCACACACACAATGAGGACCATCCACATCGGCAATGACAATTCCTCGTCTGTCTGCCTGCCTCGTCTTCCGCTTCCTTGTGTCTCTGCTAACAGTTTCTGCTACAAGATAATGACGGTAAAAGACGACAGGAATACTGAATAGAAAACTATGCACAATCACACGCACAAATACTGAAGGATTTACATGCACGACTTCTCTTTGCCCTGCTAATGTGTGTGAATGTAGAAAAAGAAAGTACATATAGAGGAGGTATGTAAAAAACTAACTGTATACAATAAGTAGTAATAGTAGTAGTAGTAGTAGTAGTAATAAGTAGTAATGGTAATAATTGAGAAAAAAATACTGAATTATGAAAGACCCTTGGTGAAAATATTCTGTATTAACAATTTTGTTATTGACTGTGCTAAGAAAGATTAAAATTACACAAAAGATCAACAAAAAGACGAATTAGAAAAACACACATGAAATAGACCCCTCCCCCTGGTTCCCCTGGTCTCACCTTGCCCCGCTCCGCCCCGCACAATCACACACACACACACAATCTACAAGTTGACTGGTACTCATTCAGTTTGATTAGACTGAAGTAAAGTAAAAGGAGAGGGTGGATCAGGTGGCTAGTGGAGGTTGGGAGGAGAAGGCGAAAAATCAAAAAATCAATAAAAAAGAGGTCTAAGGAAAAGTGTTGCCACGTGATGGTGTATTCTCGTCTGGAAGCAGCGGTAGTCGCGGTAACGTTTTAAACATATCAATAATTCTCGGCGATGGGGTGGGAGACGAGTAAAGGTCAAGGGGAGGGGAGGGGAGAGTTAAAATGATTATGTCATAATTATTGATCGTAGTAGTTGTTGTAGTAACAATCATAATGCTACGACTACCCGTCAACTATTGTACTGCTTGTTAATTATACTGAGTATTGTACAAGAATGTGTGAATGTGTGTGTAGAAAGGTAAATAATATACATCTGATTTCAAAGAAAACTGAGACAGAAAAGAGATAAAATACTCACTCAGTCACTCAACTGGCATAGGCACACACTCACACACACAGACACATACATACGCACATGCGTACAGCCATTTTTCCTTCTTGCCATCATGACATTGTAGGCGGTTGACGATGAGAAGTTGAAGAATGATGATTATGATTTGTATTATGCGGTGATAAGATTCTTTGATCGGAAACACCTAGAAAATAGGAACATGAGAAAGGAAAGAAAGATCACAATTAGTATATTCAATCAATCAATAATAATAATAATTTACACAAATGTCAAGTCAGTCAGTTCTTCTATACGGGTCAGAAAGTTGTACTGTGCTCGCATTACGAAAAAGATTTTCAACAAGTTTTAGTGTAGACTTTTATCAACAGCTGTCACCTTCGCCGGTAGATCGGATCTTTCTTTACTTCGGCTATCTCCTACGGGAGGATGAGCCAGCTTCATGAACATCTCGAATCATCGCTGCTCAGGCGCGGCGATCTGATGCAAGGTTTTGCGACAGGGTTATCCAATTTTCGTTCCACTGACGGAGTCCGTAGACGGTTTGTAGCCCCAGGCACTCCATATCAGCCTTGACTGTACCAAGCCATGTTTTCAGCTGTCCACCCCTGCGACATCGCCAAGATGGTAATGGCGAGGGATTTAGAACTGATTTGACCAGATCGTCATCTGGTCGGCGCAGAACATGGCCAAACCACCGAAGGCGACGTTGTTGGACCAGTACTGGAATTTGGTTGATGTTGTAGCAACGACGAAAAGAGTTCATGAAGTTTCATGGGAATTTGGTACGAGTGATGTCCCCAGAATCGCTCGGCCTTTTGTTCGAGAGTGCAGCTCTAGCTTTTACACAACCAAGTGTGACCTACAAGGCAGTAGGAGTGGAGTAGGGAGTCCACTATCCATTGGTAGCCGGTGACCGGAGTTCGGTTCATACGCCTTTTTGAATGGGGCCAGACATCCAACAAGCCCTTTGTCCATACGTCTGCCGGTGAGCTCCAGTGAGCTTCATACGCCAGTCGTTGGAGGTTTGGAATCAGGGTTTAGCCATCTCCCCTAGACTGTCATCCAATGGACAGTCAACCCGGTGAAGAGCGCCGGGCATCCGCTTTCGCCCTCTCACTTTGGTGAAAGACACCTCCGCCATGTGAAGGCAGTGAGTAGGACTTCCTCAGGAGAGGCTATGTAAGACGCCCTGTCATATGGGAGCATTTCAAGAGGTGTGAGGAGGGGTGGCCAACCCGCAGCGCAAGGCACCTACCCCCGACCATCCTGAGGATGCCCAGTGACGAAGAATTAGCGACAAGAAACTCTGACTGGCAACAAACCAACAAGCAAGAACCGATTGCTCAACAAATATGCGGGAGGAAATGCAGATGGATCGGGCACACGCTACTGAGGAAACTGTCGAATGACATCGTGCGCTATGCATGTCATCACTCGAGTGGAATCCCGATGGGAAGCGACGAGCAGGTCGTTGGTGAGAGGGTGACATGGAGTAGGTCGTGTGAGCTGGAACAGATGAGAGATTATAGCCAGTCGTGGAGCTAGCCAGCTGAAGGGGACAGCAGAAAATAGAATAGAGTGGGGATGTGTTGTTGAAGCCCTATGTCCCACACTCGGAACCCAAGGGAATAATAATAATAGCAATTTATTTTTTATATATAATACATGATATTCCTTTATATTCAAAGTTGGAAATAGGACTTTACGCTGGAGCTTTGAATTTACGGTAGCAGTGATACTCCTATTTCTACGGAATGACGTTGCCAGTCTCATGACCAACCACAATATTTCCACTCTTTATTGAACCTCGTAACAGCTAAGCAAGATTTTAGGAGTGCATCGGCCGGGAATCGAACCTGAACAACATGCCTAGTTGGTGAACATTCTACGCAGTGATGTGTTGGATAGGAGTTGCAACTGGGAAACTATCACTGGTTGGCTGGATTCAACATTGCACTTGGCACCGAAGTGCACCAGTTCGAGTTGCCACGTTCCAAAGACCACACAAAGGTAGACAAGAAAATGAGTGGAGAGAATCAATAGAGTTTTGACAAGTATAAGAGTGAAACACAATGAGTAATGGTAGAAAGGAATATGAAAGATTACAGAGACTGAATACATCTGCGTAAGCCATTGACAACGATTTTCAGCCATGCCACCTATTGTCTCCAGCCATTGATTCTTAGAGTCCTGAGGGTGGGCCCCAACACGGAAGTCTGCATCTCCCTACCTGACTCAGTTTAACTGTCAAGGATTTCATGGATTGATGAGGCCATGTTTTTTCTTTTTTTAATAATAATAATAATAATAATAATTTGCTTTATTCCAAAACAGTACTTGTGATACAGAATGGAATTCTCAGCATTTTTACTACAGTATTGCATCCAGTTTGTACATTATCAATAAATAGAATTCTACATAGATTGAGGAAACCGCAGTTCATTATTACAACAATACATTGGCATGTCAGTAGCAAAGGTAAAGCTGAAACAGTGTTTGAAGGTGTTAGAAAAGTGGGAGCTGTCTTATTAACTGGCGTAAGCGAGAGAAAGAGACAAAGCAGCACATAACGGAAAAAGAAGAGAGAGAAAAGGAACAGAAAGAAAGAAAATGTTGTACCTATTGGTGAAGTGGGTTGTTTGGCCACCGCTTACTCTTTTCCAACCTGCACCTATATCAGCTAGTAATGCCCGTCCGTCGGGGGAGGCGATGGTTAGGCATGCGCAGCACGTGACCTAACCATCTCAGTCTATGTAACTTTATAGCCTCTTCGAGTGATTTTCCCTCTTTGCCCAACACTCTACGCCTAACGTCAACATTACTTACCTTATTATGCCACCTAACGTGAGAAAGAGATCGTAAACATCTGTGGTCAAAAACAGACAATCTCTTCATGTCTTACGCTCTCAATGGCCACGTCTCACCGACATAGAGAAGGACAGAGCGAACTGCTGAGCAGTATACACGTCCCTTGGTTGATAGCCGGATGTCACGCCTACGCCAGAGACGGTGTAAGTTAGCGAAAGCAGCCCGAGCTTTCTGGATCCGTGCTGTGATTTCGTCACCAATCAATCCGTTGGTGCTGATACAACTTCCCAAATAGGTGAAGTGGTCAACATGTTCTATCACTTCACTCCCTATCACTAAGCTAGGAGTTGACGTAGTCCAGTCAGTCCTGTAGCAGCATCTTACATTTTACAGGGGCGAATCGCATGCCAAACATACGAAGATTGCCGCTCAAGGTATTCAGAAGACTCTGCATTTTTTCAGCATCCTCCCCTAACAGGACTATGTCGTCTGCATATTCTAAATCCATAAGACTATAGCCTGGTAACAAGTCGATTCCTAAGTCATTAAGTTCATTTAAGGATACTTCCATTAGCATATCTATGATGAAGTTAAACAGGAATGGGGAAAGTGGACATCCTTGACGGACACCACTGGTTGTTATCAATTCGAATGACAATTCCCCATAAGCCTTTACACAGCTACGTGAGTTTGAGTAGAGTGCCTTGATTAGTGCAATGTACTTTCTTGGCACTCTTTTTACAATCAAACATTGCCATAGTACCTCTCGATCCACGGAGTCGAAGGCCGCCTTCAAGTCAAGAAATATGGCAATTGTTGGACGCCTAAAAGTGTGTCTATGTTCTAGGATCTGTCGGAGAGTGAAGATATGATCTATGCACCCTCTACCTGGCCTAAAGCCCGCTTGATTTTCCCTCGTTTGTTCCTCCCGAGTTCGGCTTAGTCTGTTCATGATTACTGAGCCTAGGATTTTAGAGACTATGTTCGTCAGGCTGATTCCTCTATGATTATCACATGAGGACTTGTCTCCATTCTTGAATATTGGTATAATAAGTGACTTACCTCAATCTGATGGAACCGTCTCTGATTCCCAGACGTTACCTAGTACCTTAGTTAAACTACATACTAGTATGTCACCCCCATATTTAAACACCTCCGGAATAATTCCGTCGGGTCCTGCCGCTTTGCCTCGTTTCACATTACAGATAGCTTTGGTGACCTCACTTACAGTGTCTATATCCCATTCAGTTAACCAGCTAGTGGAGAGGCTTAAACACATCAAAGAGACAGTTAAGTGGAGAATATTAAGGTATTTCTATACATTGGTATTGAGCGTTTAAAGGAAATAAGTGGTTGTGTGTGTGTGTGTGTGTGTGTGTGTGGAGAAGAAACCATATCGACATTTTAACACGTGATTATCACACACACACACAAACACGCACATACACCATTATCCTTTCTTTCATGTATCTTATAGATATAAAGGGACATATGGATACGTATTCTAAAGGTAGAAGAAATAGACATTGTGTCGCCGCTATCAAGAAAACTAATCCATGTGTATATCGTTGAAGACAGCAATTTACGTCACATCACTGCAGACTTAACTTGTGCATATACGATTCGCAGATATATAGCTTAATTTTCGAAGAAACGGTCACAAGCAGTACAGAATAACCTTCAGTAAGAAAACAAATAATTAAAAGCGGTTGCTTCTCCGCTGGCAATAATGTACATAGAAATCTAAAAATCTCTTCTGACTTCCTCAATAAACGATCTGTTGTCTGACCCTTGTCTTCTATCCTTATAAGTTTACTTTACTAAACAAGTAAATGCGGACAAACCATAGTACTCGTCATGATAGAATAAAATGAAAAGATAGAGGTGAACATATCACGCAGATTACTACTTGATATGCGCATCCATCCCATAAGGAAGCCACCCAGCCGATGTTTTAAAGCCATTCCGCGCATGTTTTAGTATAGAGTTTTGAGTTTTGACTTATTCCCTTCATTGGTGAAACGACATTACAAATGTGTAGCGTATTTTGATTGGATACTAGTTACTGACTAGTGGAATGTGTCTAGTCCTTTGTTTGATGCAGACTGAATTCTATCATTATTCAAGTTCGTAATGTGGCCGCTATTGTTAGGTGGATTGCCATCACAGTGCACTTTAAACTGTTGATATAAGATGGTTACGGATCAGAGACTTGCACTACGCGTCATAAACAGCATCTCAAACAAACTACAGACCTTCATTAACAGCTGTCTTCGCTCAATACTCAAGATCAGATGGCCGATCAGAAAAGATCAGCAACAGGGATCTCTGGCAGTGAGCGAACCAACCAGGAACCGATTGTGAAACAAATAGGCAGGAAGAAATGGAGGTAGATTTGCTGGCCATACTCTGAGGAAACAATGCATCAAGTGACATCACTAGACAAGCCATTGCTCGAGTGGAACGCGAAAGGGAAGCGGCGAGTTGGTCGTCAGTGCAAAGGTGACTTGAAGGAAGTCATGTGAAGAGGATATGAAAGCGTGTGGGCAGACTTGGAACCAGGTGAAGTCTGTAGCAGAGAACCGAACGCAATGGAGACGCACGGCTGAAGCCCTATGTTCCTCTAGGAATTAAAGGATACAATAATAATAATAACAATAAACAAGTTCGGTTGCATCTGGATCAGATAATAAATACACCAACTTATCGAAGGAATGATTTAGGATAATTAAGAAAAACGTACCAAAAACTTACCGGGTAATGGTGGGATAGGAGAATTTCTCGAAACACAAAATGTATACGGGGGATTAGATAGAAGCGGTCCTGTCGACGACGGCCGTGTATTTTGTTCATTGATTAATCCAGGTGAAACAGACAAAAATGTCAATGGTCGACTGGAATTCGGATAATGCTGATGGTTAGATGATAAAGGCTGAGGAGGAATCAAAGCAGGAGCAGGAGGCAATGAAATACCATTGATGGCAGAAGAGGACTGAGGACTTGATATATCATTAAAGTTTATCGTAGAATTATTTCCAATCGATGATTTTAAACAACCATTCTCTATATTTTGTTTATCTACACACTTGACTGTTGCAGGGGGATTTTGATAGAAAATACTATTGACACCACCTTTTAAATTCGATGGGAATATATTCGCTGGTAGATAGAGTTTACTTGAATCTCCAGTACCAGCTCCAAGAAGCGTTGGAGAACAAGCGGAAAGAATTAACGGTGAGAGATTAAGCCGTCTAGATACATCAATATATCCTTGAGATGATAATGACGGTTGATTAGATAGATTTGAAGAGAGAATAGACGGAGAATTGGAGAGTAATGATTCACGGGAACTATGCACATCAACTGTTGCTCTGGCAACATTTAAAATAGGAATATTAGTTGTTGTCGAGGATATTGTACCATCGTCAGATATATCTGAATAGGCAGGACTTGCAGCTGGAGGTTCATCGTCTGGAATATCTGACACAATATTATTATTATGATTATTAGTGGTAGCAGTTATAATAATATTGTTATTAATAGTATTAAATTTCGACGTTGTTGAATCGCCTATCCCTGTCGGATGGACACCGACACCAGTGAAAGAATCAGGTATCGAAATGACACGATGAAGTTTCGGTGGTTCAATATTGTCATCATTTTCATCTCCATTGGTAAGTAACATGCTTGTATCATTGCTATCACTACTAATTCTATCCTTAATAACATGTGCTCTAGCCAATTTTGGTGGTGGAGAGGATGAACTGGCAGATATATCACAGATCGATATTTCCACATCATCATCTTCTGCATAGTGATCAACACCATCCACACCATCATGATGATTGTCGATAACGACAGCATTCTTCTCAGTTTTCATTGAGCTCATCTGTTTTCTTTGAGAGGGATAAACAGTGGATAGACCACCACCACCTTGTACCGATGATTCAGTGTCATTCGTTTGTTCTTTACTATGCCCTAAGGTAAAATGATATCGCATACTTAAAATATCAGAGAAACGTTTTTTACAATCAATAAATGGACAATTCAATGGAAGATGGTTACTAGTTGTTGAATCAGAATCACCAGTTGTACTATCAGTTATAGTAGGGGGAGGAGGAGGAGTTTCAGAATTATGTACAACAACATTATCATCAGTTAGTGCTGACGACTTGACTTCAGAAGAAGTTAAAAGATTTTCATCAGAAAGAGATAGACCAGTGTTAACTGAATGATGTATTATTGGTCGTCGACTAGCAGCACCAGCGCCACCAGCACCACGACGTCTACGTCCTTTAGCACCACGTTGAGGAATGTCAGAAGGTGGAAGAGTTCTTTTATTACCAAGATTATTATGATTATTATGATTACTAAAAGTTGTTTCTGGAACCGTATAAGGTTGGTCTATACAATCTGTTGAATAAGGATCAGGATTTGTAGGTTGTTGTTGTTCTTTCGAGTCGACATCTGTCTCTGTTGAATCTTGTGATGCTGCAGCGGCAGCAGCCGATGCTGATCGTGTTGTCATTGAACCGCCTACACCATGTCCAGCACCACCAGCACCAGCACCAACACCGCTACCACCTCCACCACGACGATGATGACGCATATGATGAAAGTGATGAATACCACGAGCTTGATAACCTCTTTGTGATGTATCACACCAGGCCTTCCGACCGCGGAGAAGATTTAATGCACTGGCTACACCTTTATCCATACTATAAAGTACAAAAAAATACACACACACACCTAATTAGCCATTTCAAATAAAATATCACGACTTAGAATTACAGATAAGCAAGGTTACTCAACAGTGCGTCGGTGGCATAGCGGTTAGGATGCTCGCCGACCATGTACATGGTCCGGGGTTCGATCCCTAGACGACGCACTCCTTTACCTCGCTAAGCCAGAAATAATGCTGGTAAAGAGGAAAGGCTAGCAACCCCAACCTGTAAAATAAACACCACTGCTACAGAAACTTCAAGCCACTAGCTTGAAACCCTACGTTCAAGTGGGGAACGTGAAGGAAAAAAAAGGTTACTCAACTAATGGAGAAGATTTGCAGCTCAGGTGGATGATTTTGATTTGATATATGTGTAAAATGTGGGCACTGCTGTGGTAGTAAGTAATTCCATATTAGTTTGTTTATTAAATATATCACACAGTGAAACAGTATTATTTACTGGATGACAAGGTTTCGAACACAATGTATTGTTCATAATCATATCATCAATTATAATCACACGACTTCGAAACTTCAGCTTTATAGTTTTCTTTGTCCTCTCCTATTTGCCGTCGTTGGGGTAGTAGACTTTTCCAGGTATCTGGGACAGGTGATGAATCATTCCTATTACATGTATTTGCAGTTGATTCGATGAACAAAGCTTCTGTTATTAATCTCTCCCGATACCCTGTGACATTAGATTTTAAAATTGTCATCCTATCCCATCCATCCTATTGTATGGTTGTGTGTAACTGCATGTAGTGCTATAGCTGAACTATTCTCTAGATTTCTTATTTTATTCGGGTCAACTAATCTAGATTTTGCTGCTAGGTTTTTATGCTCGGCTAGTCTGACTGTCCCTCTTCTACTAGTTTGACTTATGTATTTGACTTAACAATCATTGCAGGGCATTAGATAAACTAAATTGTTTTGTTTTAAAGGCTCCACTCGCAGGATACTTTAATCGACTAAGCTTGTTTTTAATTGAGTTTGTGGGTTTGAATGCCAGCCACTTTTATTCCTGCATTGTTCAAGATTCTCCGTAAGGTGGTTTCCGAGGTTCCTTTTTTGTATGAAAGTACTACTGTTGATTTAAACTCCTTATTGTTGGTGTTGTCATTATCCTGCACATGTTTGACGTGAATGTCGTCATTAATATTACCATTATTATTATTATCACTATCACTACTATCATTATTTATTTTATTTTTACATTGCCCTACATATTTCCTGACTAATTTATCATGGTAATTATTAAATTTCAAGGCTTCTCTTATATGTATCACTTCCTGTCTTCGATTTCCTTGGTAGCACTTAGTTTTGTGCTCTATTATTGAAACATTTCCCCAATCCTATTTTGACATTGACATAGGATGGGATGATCGGAAGTTCAAATATCTGTTTGAATGTGTGCGTGGAGGCAATTCAATTCACTTATGAATTGGAAAGTCAGCAAGGGGAACTTCCAATGTTAGATTGCAGCACAAAAAGGAAAGAAGATGGGAAGTTAAACACACTAGTGTGTGTTTACGGGGAAACCCACACATTCAAACAGATATTTGTACTTCCGACTTGATTGCGAAGCTTTCGTTGTCTCTCTTTCTAGACATTCATGAAAACAAAACACGTAGTTCAGTGAAGAGTCTTTTTTCGGCGGCGAATTCATTCACTTACCTAGCTGTACAATCGCAATTATATTCAGTTATTTGTGTGTGTGTGTGTGTGTATGAAAATTAGGTTTGTCCGATAAGAATAAAAATAAGTTAGGGTTATTGTTGTCAAGACATTTCAAACATGTGATGAGTAATCATCTTGTAACTACGAGGGGTGCGCACCGATGAAGAGTCTCAAACTAAGACGAAACATCTGGATGTCCAGTACTGCTTCTCTAACCGATGTCAGCATATGGTGAAATCCTTTAACCGACGAAAATGATTTATTTCTAAAAGAATGATTACTTTTATAATTATTCTAAGAATTGTCTGCAAAAAACAAAACGACGCCAATCAATAAATGACAGAAACACAGTATAGACGATACATTTTTTTATCTCCAAAAAACTTACCATGTTGGCGCAAATGTTTGCTTAGATGAATCCAATAAAGTACCCATATAATTACGCCCACGCCAATGAAGACTTAGAACAAGCATTCCTGACAGCAGTAATTAACAACAAATGCAAAACATGTTTTAGAGTGCATGGAGAGAATCAAAAAAAGTGACTGTGAAAAGAAAGGAGAAATTAAACGCCTACATTAAATCATGAACAAACAAGTAGACTTGGATTCCAGTCTTCTCTAAGATGAGATGGAAACACAACAGTTAGATGAATAAATCTTTGCAAATCTCACAGATATATTATTATTCCCTTGGATTCCGAGTGGAACACCATAGGGCTTCAACAACACATCTCAACTTTCTTCTTTACTTTCCGCCATCCTCTTCAACTGGGTCCACGATTAACCACAATCTCTCATCTCCTCCATGTTACCCTCGCACAGACGACCCACCCGTCGCTCCCAATTTGTATTGCACCCGAGCGATGGTCTGCATTCCGTGCGATGACATTCAACGGTCTTCTCAACGTATCCCTGATCCATCTCCATTCTCTCCTACTTGTTGGTTTGTTGCCAGCTAGAGTTTCTTGTTGCTAACTCTTTCTGGCAAGTCGGCCATTTGATCCTCAATACGGAGCCAGTGAAGGGGACAGCTGTTGATGAAAGTCTGTCACTTGTTGGAAATCCTTTTCGTGATACGAAGTGTAAGTTTCTGACCCATATAGAGGCACCGGCTGACTTAACATTGGTGTTGGAAACCCAAATCTTGTTCTTTATTCTGAGTACAGAAAATTTCCAAACTGATATATATACATACTATAGGTTTCCAGGCCGTAGGTGTTATGAACTTCCTGGAATAATTTGAGCACCGAGTCAGATTGATTCATTATAAATTATTTAAATTAATCCCAGCGTGTTAAGAAAATCAAAACAAGATTTTTCTGAACGTTTCGCTGCGTAAGCCACAGCTTCTTCAGCAGATTTATTCGGATTTTATTAATCATCAAAATATATCGTTAAAAAATTTAACATACATTAAAGTCAGTTTATTTGAAGGTCATTTGACCATGGACATTTTTACCAATAGAAAATATGTAAGCAGTCATCACATATACCTGTAATGACTAATGTCAAATTGTTGTTGTGTTCACTCTTCTATAGTTAATTTGTATAGATTAGTTTTGTATGAGTGTGTGTGTGTGTGTTATTTGTGATATGGAAAATACGTGAATTCATATATGATAAACATGATCCTATATGTTTTAAAAAGGTCATGGAGGCTCATAGAGTGTTTATTGATTTTTTCACCTGTTTTGCTTCATAAGAGTTTGCCAAATAGGTGATAAGTCTATTCCATCTTTCCTATTCACTGCATTCGATGTGGTTAAGATGTGCAAGGCTTCAGAAGTCAATCTTTCTTTATGTGAATGAAATCCTCTTCCAAGAATTTCGACATTGTCGAAATAAATCTTATGTCCGCTGTCTGTAGCATGCATTGCTATAGCCGATCTTTTTCCTAGACTTTTTAGTTCTATTTTATTTCTAGGTGCACGTTTCGTGCATAGTCTATGTTCATTCACTCTGACCTTCACCTGCCTACTGCTCTCCCCTATATAGCATGCATCACATTCGGAACACTTTATCTTGTAGACACTATTACTTTGTGATATTCTGGGAACTATATCTTTGACATGCACCAACGCTTTCTCCAGAGAATTAGAAGATTTGACATAGACTTTAATATTATATGAGGCAAACAGTCTTTGAAGTTGTTCAGCTGTGTCCTTTCGGTATGGGATGGCTATCGTTTTCCCTTATGCTCCTTTCTATTGATAATATTATTTTATTTATTTTATTTTTATATTATTTTATTAGTAGTTTTCATGTTTAGGCTAGGTTTTTAGCTTCATGTTTACTATGTTGGGGCATTTAGGGACCATACGGTCATAGCTTGTTTAGGGATGCTCTGGCATAGGAAAGCTATATATCAATCGATAGCTCTCGACGAGATCTATCCTTTGACATTGGTTTCGACCCTTGTAGCCTCTCCTCAGCCTTCCCCAGGATCTTTGATATCTGGGCTTGCGCCCTCAGGGGTTATGCTGCCAAAATTTTTCCAGGGAGGCTAGGACTTAGGGAAGCTATATATCAATGGATAGCTCTCGACGAAATCTACCCATTGGTATCGGTATCACACCTTATAGCTTCTCCTCAGCCGAATAGGGAATTTCTTCAAAGGCTACAGGGGAAACCTGTTCTAGGCCTAGAGTTCATGCCGCTGGCTGTTCTCTAGACACTTTTAGCTCCGCGACCTCAGGTTGTATGCCGTTGTGTATGTAGCTAGGGGGCATTACCAACCATAGGGCAGCAGGGGGGCAGAGACTGCTAGGCAGGAAAATCCTCGTATTTTTCTTAGGAATAGCTTTTACCCTCTAATTTATATACCATTGGATTCCTCTCGACGAGACGAACCGATTGGTACCCGTCTCGCCCCTATAGGACTTACGGTTGCGGAGGTATGGCTTCTTTAATTTCGGGATTTATCCTCCTATTTTAGCGTTTCTTAGGGTGAACATGCTCTTTCATTTCATCCACGATGTTATCGGCAGTGGGGAGCTGATAAGGAAACCGAGGCTGACCGGCAGCTTAACCGGACTTCTACTGATATGAGTGTGGCGACGGTATCAGTAGGAGATAACTTGGGTTGTCACACCGTTCCTGGCGTAGCTCCGTTGATAGTAGCAACGGGCATCAACCAAATTTGTCAAACCTCACAACCTACTGATACATTGGCGACGGTATCAGTGGGGGCTGGACTTAGTCGTCATCAATCCATCCCGATGAACCAAACGAATTCAAAAAATATCATGCCGGATCGGCCGTGGCCCGGATTAACAACGACCGCGCTCTCTGCTGCCGTGTCACAGGGCAGAAGTGATAAGCACACTACTGAGACACACCAGGCCGTGTGTGACCGGCCTCAAGCAGATGTCCCCTGGGCTCTGCGGCCACGCACCACTAACCTTTCTTCTATTTCAGGTACCCAAAGACCAGACTCAGGCGTGAGGCCAGCAACCCCACCCTGTAAACAAACCTGCTACAGAAACTTCAGCGTGAACAATCTCCTATATATATATATATATATATATATATATATATATATATACTGACCTATTGACCAAATTTAGCTCATGCTATCCGAATTTTAACTTCACAATAAACACAACATGAGACAAACGATACATTTAGAATTCCTAGATGTTTGTTTCTCTAATGTGAAAAGGACTGACGACACAATGGAAAGATCTAAATTTTAGAAAGTCTTCATGGACAGGAGGACAGTGCATACATAAATTTTAAAAGTTTTGCTCCAATCCAATATAAAAAGTAATTAGTCAGAACACGGTTCATTAGAACACGAGAAATTTGCTCTGACAGCACAACTGAACATGTAATAAAGATTCTAAAGGATATTTTTTTTATCTAAGAATGGATATCTTGAGAAGTTAATCAATAAATACTCGAAAGAGATTAGGTTCAGTAAAATTATTTAAACAGTCCCAAAGATGGAGCATGATGGTGCATTTACCAAGGTGGTTGAAAACGCCCAAAGTCAAACTGCCTAAAAGTTCAGTAACAAAGAATCTTGTGGACTACGGATGTGATATTGACGCTGTCAGTTAAGCCACTGACTGTTGTCAGCAAGCAGACAAACAAACAGGAAGATGTTTTCAACTGCCGAGGAGGCTTGTGCAATTAGAGTTAATTAACCAGGTCTCTGTGTACAAAAGGAAATGTTGGTCAATCTGATCTACCATAGTAACATGTTTTACTTATTAACTGTTATTATTATTATCATTAATATTATATCCCACCTCTTATTATTACTGTAACGACAGAAGACAAGAGCCAAATAACAGATCGTTTATGGAGAAAATCAACAGATATTTATAGATTTCTATGTACATTATTGTCAGAGGAGAAGTAACCGCTTCTGATTGGTTGTTTTCTTACTGAAGGTTATTCTGTTCTATTTGCAACCGCTCCTCAGAAAGTTGGGCCATATATCTACGAATCGTATTTGCACACGTTAAGTCTGCTGTGATTGGTTGGTGAGTTCCTCAAGGTTAAGCTTTGTTAGTGTGTTTTTTTTGTCATGACCGCGATTCGGGACGTAACATTGACGTAAATTGGTGTTTACAATTTTGGCTTGTTCGCAGCCAACTTTCACCAAATTAGTATTTCCGATTCATTTAGAACCATCTTTTATCATTACCCTTATCTTAGCTCGTTTCAACATTATTATTACTATTATTAGCACTACCATTTTTATCAATATTATTTAGTTCTGTCACAATGTTATTCTAATGGTATATATATATCCTTGTATGCAGGGTATCCAGCTGAGGAGAAGTCCTACTGAAATTTGATGAATTCATTAAATCCTGCTTTAGAGGTCTAAACCCTCAGGGGAACACGCAGTTAGTCAGCATGGAAAAGAGCTGAATACATATCTAATAAGTTGTCAGAGACAGTGATTCACAATTGGAACAAAGATCGATAGGCTGAGTTCAGTTCATCTAGGCGACAACATCATCAGACTGACACATCACTTCTTACAGTGAATCTAACAAATCAAAAAAAGGGACATACGAATGACACCAATTCTCTACGAATACTTTCGAAATGAATTAACCAAATCCACTGTTGTTTTTCCTCTGCTGCCGTTCACAGCCCACCAGCTTCATAAGATGGTATCGTAGGTTGAATAGCAATCTATCATCTCCAAATCAATCCATGAAATCCTTGACAGTTAAACTGAGTCAGGTAGGGAGATGCAGACTTCCGGGTTGGTTGGGGCCCTCGGGACTCTAAGAATCAATGGCTGGAGACAATAGGTGACATGGCTCAAAATCGTTGTCAATGGCTTACGCAGATGTATTCAGTCTCTGTAATCTTTCATATTCCTTTCTACCATTACTCATTCTGTTTCACACTTATACTTGTCAAAACCCCATTGATTCTCTTCACTCATTTTCTTGTCTACCTTTGTGTGCTCTTTGGAACGTGGCAACTCGAACTGCTGCACTTCGGTGCCAAGTTCTATATTGAATCCAGACAGAAAGACAGAAATCGACGATAGAATATGTGGACAGTGTCTATGAATATTATTTTCCACTTGATATCTGTGGAAGGGGCAAAGTAGGAGTCTTACTTTTCCTGCATTATCTCTGCTCATGGAATTCACTTAGCGGAACCAAGAGGGGTAAATAAATTCAGATATGCTGCTTCCGATATTTCTATTGGTTGGAAATGCTATCTGTACACCAGCCAACAACATTTCATTAGTTTCTCCAAGCGTGATGGGCTCATATATCCTCAAGACTAATCTGATGCTAGATTTGATATCAGTGATTAATGCAAGCGATGTGGATTCGAAGCGTGAACGAATACTATTCTATTCGATAATCAGAACCATAATAACAAAAATACAACTAGTACGGAAAACAAAAAGAGTAGAAGGACCGTGGACATGTTGGTCAACCTAAAGGGGGAGGGGGGTTGGAAACTCTGATTCCAACCCTATGGCGATGTATGTGGGTGTCAGAGTTCGAACCTGTTTTGGTCACCAATAACTATGGTAACCCAGCTCCTGGCTGGCTGGATTCAACATAGAACTTGGCACTGAAGTGCAGCAGTTCGAGTTGCCACGTTCCAAATGTCACACAAAGGTAGACAAGAAAATGAGTGAAGAGAATCAATAGAGTTTTGACAAGTATAAGAGTGAAACAGAATAAGTAATGGTAGAAAGGAATATGAAAGATTACAGAGACTGAATACATCTGCGTAAGCCATTGACAGCGATTTTGAGCCATGTCACCTATTGTCTCCGCGTGGCTTTAGGAGACTATCGGTGGTGGTTTTTTGGCTTCCGTCGTTTTCAATGCACACAGAGTGAAGAGGAAGTGAAGAGCCATCAAGTAGAGGAGTTGCATTAGTAGAAGGAAGGCAAGATAATAGGGATGAAGATGAGTGAGGATTAGAGAGGTTTCGCGTGCATTTCGGATTGTGAGGGCGATTGTTACTTCCCAGCTGCCCACACCGTGGAATTTGATTGCATGACCGCAGAGCCCAGGGGACAACTGCTTGAGGCCGGCCACACACGGCCTGTTTTCGTTTGTTCTTTTTCATTTGGTGTGTCTCAGTAGTATATTTATCACTTCTGCCCTGTGACACGGCAGCAGGAAGCGCGGTCGTTGTTAATCCGGGCCCCGACCGATCCGGCATGATATTTTGTGATTTACTTTGAGTCATATCATTGAGTTGGGTAACTGCTTTTTGTCTAACCGCTATCCAAACAACCTTTCTGGCATTATAGGACCTCAAGCGACATAAGTCTCAGCCAGTATAGCTTGTTGGGTCATTTCGGTGTTCAAGCCCGACCACCACGTCAGGGTAGCAGCTTTCGGTCGGGCTCCACTGCCTTGTGGGCTAAACTCCAAGTCAAAGGCAACCACCTACTTCGATCTGGACGTCCGCGAAGTGTACCAACCTCCGCACAAACTACTACTAAACCTCCCTGAGGAACACTAAAAGCAACAAATTTTTTTTTTTTGGATTTACAGCTTGATTTCCACACCGTATTTTCAGTACAAGTGTGGAACTTTCAGCAGTACAGAAAGATTGGAAAACATGCAACAGAGCTGACAGCATACAATCAGGCAAAAACTAAGGAGCCCATAATGTTTGCAGTACTAATAAAAATCAAAACTGCAGGTGGGCACAACCATAAAACAGATTGCAAAAAAAAATATTAACTCACCTGTAGCCTCCATCCAGACAACACCTTCTACAATAATTTTTGTACCCGGTTCACACGGACCCAATAGATTCGGTTCAGTCAGTGTGGCGCTGTCAACAGTAGACGTTGACGAATCAACATATACACGAGAATCTTTGGGAGTAGACAGACCTCTCTACAATTTAACAGAAAAAGAAATAATAGGTAAATTTTATAGGATACTACAAGAATTATGTAAGAATTTACGTAAAACAGACGACTCGTATACACAGCTTGTATCTTGCCTGCTACACGGAAGGTGCTCTTATAGGAATTTAGATCTAAAGTCCTACTGTTTAAAGGTAAGCGGATACTTATGGCTCGTTGATTGAAGCACTCGAGTTTCATGCAATGGACCCTGGGTTGGAATTCCGCCATACCTAACTCAACCTGTGCAACTGGATAGTATTAGCAGGTCTTACACAAAAATTGTCACTGGTAGCTTGGTACAACAACATAAACCTCTTCCAGGCGCCCGTGTTATTTTTTTATCCTTCGCGTTCCCCAGTGGAACATGGGGCTTCAAGCTAGAGGCTTGAAGTTTCTGTAGCAGTGTTTATTTTACAGGATGGGGTTGCTAGCCTCATGCCTAACCTTTCCTCTTCACCAGCATTATTTCTGACTAAGCGAGGTAAAGGAGTGCGTCGGCCAGGGATCGAACCCCGGGCCATGTGCATGGTCGACGAGCGTCCTAATCGCTGTGCCACCGACGCACGCCCGTCTTATAGTATGACTTTATAAATCACCTTATATCATTAGTCACGTGTGAGACAGTTAGTTATTGACGTGTAGAAATGTTAGCAGTAACATTAAGAGTATAATACAGCAGCAAGGGTGCATGAGTGAACAACACTCAAAAATAGATTAAATTGAACAGAATACTACAGATATGAAGATTATTATACACCTGATGTAAGTGCAAATTAGTACAAGTCCCTACACGTCACACTGAAGTGTTATAGTGATTGTGAATAAACACCTTTAAGGGCCTTCAGCAGTACGCACCCACCGCCAGAATTTGAACCCACCACCTTCTGGTTACAAGGCGGGCTCGTTGACCATTAAGTCACTGGGACCCAACTCAATGGTAAGCCCATGAATTCTAACTTCTACTAATTCGTGATTTTAGGGCGAACACTAGCCAATCTCATCGGCGAAAATTCGTCCTCATGGTCTATGAACTTGCCATGTAACCAGAAGGTAGTCCTGGATTTAAACCCTGGTAGTGGGTGCATACTGTGAAGAGTCTCAGACTACGACAAAACAGATGTCCAGTAATCCCAGGTGTTTTTCTAATGGTTCTCTAATTGATGTCAGCTCATGGTGAAATTCTGTAACCAGTCAAATCCAATCCCTGAAAACCAAAACTTGAATATTTTTTAGACCCTCCAGAATCACACTCACTTATTAGGATTAACCCCAAGAAGTTGAAACAGAAAGCCTTAATATTTGTACATAGTTTGCACAGACAATCATGTGACTAACTAACTTATTCAGTTTTCGACCTGGGACTTTACAGCGGCTCAAGTTCCCATACTCCATATAACACAAAAACGTGGAATAGTAAGTGAGAAAGAATACTAACGTGAAAAAGCATGAGGTGATTAATGAATATGGGAGACCACAAAGAATGGACGCATCTAGGCCATTGAGAACGATTTTGAGCCAACGAGATCACCAGCTACAGGCGGAACTGATGAGGATATCAAAGCAGCGAGGATCAGGAAAGCAAGACAAGCTTTCACTACTCTCAAGTCTGTGTGGAGATTAACAGCATTCAGCATGAAAAATAAGATCCGGATTTTCAACTCCAATGTGAAGTCAGTCAGTGCTACTCTATACGGATCAGAGACTTGAACTGCGCGTCATAAAGAGCATCTCTAACAAACTACAGACCTTCTTCAACAGCTGTCTTCGCTCAATACTACTCAAGATCAGATGGCCGGCCAGAAAAGATCAGCAACAGGGATCTCTGGCAGTGAGCGAACCAACCAGGAGCTGACTGTGCAACAAATAGGCAGGAAGGAATTGAGATGGATTGGCTGGCCATACTCTGAGGAAACAATGCATCAAGTGACATCACTAGACAAGCCATTGCTCGAGTGGAACCCGGAAGGGAAGCGGCGAGTTGGTCGTCAGTGCAAGAGTGGGTGACTTGGAGGAGGTCATGTGAAGAGGAGATGAAAACGTGTGGGCAGACTTGGAGCCAGGTGAAGAATCTAGCAGAGAACCGAACGCAATGGAGACGCACGGCTGAATCCCTATGTTCCTCTAGGAATTAAAGGAAACAATAATAATAATAACATCACTACCAACAGTCTCCAACCATTGAATCTTAACGTCTCAAAGACCCCCGTATGCTGAAAATTCCATACTTGTATCAAAAATACTGTGTGGAGTCAAGCTATAATAAAAAAATTTTAAAATAAATTAATGCAAGATCTTCGTCTGATCACCCCTAATTCTCTTTCAACCCAATCCTGTATCAGCTAACGCTAACGGATAAACGAGGAAGGCTGTGGCGGCAGTTTCACAAGTTCCATAATTGACTTTTCCTCTTTACTAAACACGCTTGACGCCTAACTTCAATATTACCCAGCATATTATACCACTACTCAACATAGAAGATGAAAAGAAAACTCTTGTGGCCAAATACTTAGCTCTTTCAAGTCTTACACTGTCAATGACACGTCTTGTAAGGGACACAAAGGACGAAGAGAACTGCTACACAGTACTCACGTCCATTGATCCGTACACGGGTATTACGCTTACGCCAAAGGTGATGTAAGCTGACAAATGCTATATGGGCCTCTTGTACGAGAGTGGAGATGTTGTCAGCTACCAGTCCACTAGCACTAATGCAACTTCTCAAATAACTGAGATAGACAACAGATTCAACCACTTCACTTCACCACCTGTCTTTTAACTAGGAGTTGGTGTACAAACCAGTACTGTAGCATGACCTTACATTTGACAGGAGACTAACAACAGCATGCCAAACATATCAAGATCTCTTCACAGAGTGGTACGTGTGGCAGTAATTAGCTAGTGAATAAAGACAAGTATAAATTAGATGTCTGTCTATCTGGACTCAACATAGAACTTGGCACCGAATTGCAACAGTCCGAGTTGCCACGTTCCAAATACCACAAAAAGGTAGACAAGAAGATGAATGAAGAGAATCAATAGAGTTTTGACAAGTATAAGAGTGAAACAGAATCAGTAATGGTAGAAAGGAATATGAAAGATTACAGAGACTGAATACATCTGCGTAAGCCATTGACAACGATTTTGAGCCATGTCACCTATTGTCTCCAGCCCCAGCCCGGAAGTCTGCATCTCCCTACCTGACTCAGTTTAACTGTCAGGGATTTCATGGATTGATGAGGCCATGTTTTTGTTTGGCCACCACTTACTCTTTTCCAACCTGCACCTATATCAGCTAGTAATGCCCGTCGGGAGGGGAAGGCGATGGTTAGGCATGCGCAGCACGTGACCTAGCCATCTCAATCTATGTAACTTTATAGCCTCTTCGATTGATTTTCCCTCTTTGCTCAACTATGAGCAATCGTGGGGCAAACTAAAGACGACAGCAGAGAACAGGACAAAGTAGAGATGTGTTGTTAAGACCCTATGTTCCACTGGGCACCCAAGGGAACAATAGTAATAATAATAATACTGAACCATCTTTTGAAGAAGTGAGCACACAACAAAAGGAGAAATAGTTGGAATTGAAAAGGAAATCCATGTTTACAACCGCATATCGTCATCACCAAACTACAATCGTCCTACTTCTCCGGTTAACTGCCTCATATAGTAGGGATATGCTTCATTACGATCTGCATGCTGCAAAAACTTGCACGCATTATATTAATAACCTCATCTTTTATGACTTATTTTCAAAGTATGGCACATTGGTTCGTCAAACAGGTAAGCAATCAACGGTTTAATCTCCCTCACCATCATTCACAGCTCGGGAGAAACTGGATAGTAGTGTAACCAGCCTACATACAAAAAGTGTGACGCATACCCACCCAGGTGTAGTATATGAGGAACCTGTTCTCCACAGGTATTGATCTCTCGGGTGATAATAAGAAACGGGCTTTAGAAAAGTGATGAGAACAACTGCACTAAGGATTTTCACAACTCACCAATGTGTGTGTGCGTGTGTATAAGTAGGCGATCGGTTTCAAACTAAGAAAGCCTTCATACCACTCACGACTAGTGAGTGACTAATAAAGGAAGGATTAGCACCTTCACCTTTATAAGTTAATCCTTTGTATATCATCATCACATCTACGTTTTTCAGAAAGTACAGATCCATTTAAAAACACTATGACCTTTATACCAAAAAACACACATCTAACAAAGATTTACACTAAAAGTACACACACAAACCTACAAATATACAGAGTGATATACAGGGTTTACAGTGTATGTGAATGCGTGTATAACAAAGACAACTAATAGTCTTTATTTCTATTTGAAAACACTAAACAACCATATCTGAGACGTGATTGAACAAAGACATCGAACCATACGAAGCGACCTTTGTAGAACTGTTAGATCAAATTCTGATCAGAGTTCTTATAAAAATGCCGACTTCTCCTTATAAGTATTCATTATAAAAAAGGTTACTTTTTGTATTTCCCAATGAATGAATGAATGAAAAACAAAACGATATTTGCTGTCTTTACTGGCATTTCGCTATTTAATGATGCAGCTAATATAGCTTTATTAAAGTACTTACGGAATCCTTCCAAGTGAGGACAGGAGTAAGACAAGCTGGCTGCCTACTATCGCCTATGATTTTCCTGATTGCAGTAGATTGGATAATGCGACAAACAGCGGGCAATGAGGAAACAGGAATAAAATGGACGCACACAAAAATTTGGAGGATCTGAACTTCGCCGATGATATATATCTGGTTTCCCACAAACTGGAAGATATGCAAGCGAAAAATAACAAGTTGGTAGGAGAGGCATCAAAGATATGACTTCAGGTGAACATAGAGAAAACAGATGTGGTGATGAAGCTTCCTGGACAAGAACAACAACAGCGACAACAACAACAGACAACAATCAGCCAGTATAAATGGAAGGAACCTGAAAGAAACAACCTCCTTTACCTACTTGG